GGGGAGAGATATAATAGATTTGAAAGTAGAGCATAGCTGACAGATTTTTCTGATAGTCTGGGAATTCTGTGAACTCTAGAATAGACCGGATGTTTCAAACAGGTTGATGAAAAAGAACAGGTCTTCCCTTTATCAGCACCCCATCCTTCTACTCTCCCATTCTTTAAAAAGGAGACAGATAAAGAAACGACTGTCAAAGAGAAGCAGAAAACATAATGTACTATGGGGCATATGAAGCGGGGGCCCCACACCCCAAATTCCAGGCTTGAGTAGGGGAGGGTGAATGATTTGGGTGAATATCTAAGAAGATATGAATCATATAGAGTTTTTAAAAATTTACTGTGCCCCACAAGATCATAAAGATCTCAATTATAACACTGAAAGAGGGAGAGATTTAGGTCCTGAAAGGGCCAGAAAGGGAGGCTCTTTTCATGGTGACCGGCATGTAACTAGGCCCAGCCCTTGGGTTGGCTGACTGGGGCAACTGTCCAGGACTCATACTAGGAGGGAGACAAGGGACACTGGATCTTAGCCCTATTTTCTCAACATTGTTAAAAGTCAATGTCATTATTTATTGTTGGGGATTTAATCAGTTCAGTAGAGGTACAGGTAAAGCAAGAATTAATGCATCATTGAGTACGGATAGTCAGTATATGTTAAGTGGAGACACATAATGTCTCTCTTTCATAGTCTGGCTTGCTTCACTCAGGAACAAATCTTCCATATTCATCTACTTTCTATCAAATGCCAGGATCTTAATTGTTTTGTATGGTTGAGTAGTTTTCCAAAGAGTATACGTGCCACGCTTTTTTGATCCATTTATCTGTTCGTTATTGTCTATTGATGAGAATGTGTTTTGTATCCTCAACTGGACTGGTGTGAAGTGTATTCACGTTGGGTAAATACAACTTACAAGCCAAGAGATGTATGGTGATTAAATATATAAAATAAAAAATAATTTAGAAAAGAAGTATAAAAAAGAATTAATGTATCTTGATGAATACTTAGGGGCTCAGTGCTCTCTATTTTGCATATGTGTGAATTCTGACCTAACAGACTTTGAGTTGTTTCTCTCATAGTGGCCATGGGTTACATCCATTCACACACACGTATTTGTATTTTATTCTCCATGTGATCCATAGATTGTATTTGTGAGACTCTTTGACGGAGAATTCAACTTTCACCAATGAGCAAAATTAAACTAGCTGGTAATATGAATTTTAACTCTGAGTTTAGGATTTGGAGTCATCCCAATGTAAATCTGAAATCCCACCTTATCATTCCCCAGATCTGTGAACTTTTGATAGGTTTTTAATCATCTGGGCCTTTGTTTTTCCATAAGTAAAATGGATATTATACTACCAATATTATTATAAATATAGAGTACTTAACACTAGCAGCTAGCATATAGCAAATGCTTAATAAATGTTATCTCTCTGGCTGGCTCCATGGCGCAGCAGAACTGCACTGCTAAAGATAAGTTGAATTCTACACGACAACAATGGTTCTAAAACTCGCCCTGGTCTGTCTGAAACATATCAGGCATACACACAAGTGACCAGTATTCAACAGGCTAGAAAAAAGGGATTCCAGCGTCACCTGACCTGTGAGCGTGCTGATCTCTCTCTTTCTCTCTCTCTCATTCTCAATTGCATGTGTACCTACTCTGTAATGAATAAAGAAAAAACTGAAATAAAGTAAATGCTAGCCCTAATCTGTAAATTTATCCAGAAATTTAGAGGTACCAAACTCCAAGTCAAGAGACATGGTCAAAAAAATAAAGGCCCCCAGGAAGAGAAATGCCATCTGCTTTGTGCTATCTGTGACTTAGATAACACAAGGCAGCCCTGGAGAAAGGGCAGAAAGACGCTGTGGCTGGTATGACAGGTGAGAATCAGGGGTAAGTAAGTTAAGCCCTTTATACAGAACCTATCTTAAAAGGTTTACTTTTTTTTTTTAATGTAGAAGGACACTAAGAACACTGAATTGGACTGGCCTAGAACGTGTGGGTATGAGTGTATGTGTGTGTATGAAGCTAAACTGAATTGTGTACTACTCTGATTGATTTGCAGATATTAATACCTCCCACTTTCATTTTTTTTAGAGTTATTTTATTTCACTTTATTTATTTATTTTAATTTGATCAGAAAGGAACAGACAGAGAAAGGGAGAGGGAAAGGGAGCGGGAAAGCGAGAAAGAAGCCACCAGGTCCAGGACTCAAACTGCAGTTGGCCACATGAGAGTCTAGCACCCTTAACCACCATGCCACCTGCCAGCCCCAACCTCCAACCTGCATTTAAAGAAAACCCTTTTTGGGCCCAGCCACAGTGGCTCAGGTGGTAGAGACCCACTGTGAGATACTGGAAGGTGCAGTAAGGGAGACCCCAGTTTAGATCCCAGACCAGCGGTTCTCAACACACTGGGTCTGCCCTCTCACCTATGATCCTGGCTGGTTGCGAGACTGGGGGAAATAGAGCATAGCAAGACCCTGTAGAAAATCAGTCTCTCTCTGTCTCTTTCTCTCTCAATAAATAAATATACTTTAAAAGACAAAAAATAACTTGTCAATGCCAATATCTTCAGAGAGAGAGAGTGAGAACAGAGACACAACTCCATGAAGTCAGGTACCTGAGCACGCCCGCCTAAACCCTGTTATGTGCCTTCTTGCCTCCATGTTCTGCCTCAGCAACTTGGATGTTCGTGAACCTTATTTGTCAACCTGGGCCTAGTCATTGAGCAAAACAGGAACCAAGCTGAGAGCTTGGCCTCCATCTCAGTAATACACATTCAGGACGCATACATGGCCCAGCCACTCCTCGCCAGCCCACAAGAGCAGCTGGTTGCTTTTGCTCTGACAGCCAATGACATCATGGCTAGACATGGAACGCGAGAGGATCTCAAGCACGAAAAAAACAGTCACAGACCTATTTTCTGCCTGGAAGAAGCACAGGGGCCCCTCCCTCTCCTGCTCAAATTTTTATCAGCTGGCAGAAGCTGTATTCATTTTTTCCAAAGAAGAAAAGGAGCTATTGAATTCCAAGCACTGTGTCTTTTATATGGAAATGGTAGAGGGACTCTGCTTTCTTTGAAAAGTTTCTGGTTGCGATATCCAGAGTCTCTTCTCTTTCAGTTACTGAATAGCTTATGTCTGACCTGTCTTTTTTTCCTCAAAACCAAGCCTGTTTGCTCACTTCAACTTCTGCACAAAATGTACCAATCAGATTTCAATCGGAGAAGAAAATGTGGAGAGGGACAGCTGTTCATGAAACAGATGTTTTATTTTATCTTAAGCATGCATCCTGGTGCTATAGTGTTAATAGCATGCAGTCTCACTGTGAAAAAACTTCTTATTTGAGCATAAATAATATACTAATAGCTGTCTCTGTTGCAGGTAAATTCCTTTGGTGAGTGAGTGATTGAGGGCAGACTGTGGAGTCAAACCCTGGTCCCACCATGGATCACTGTCTGACACTGGGTGAACAGGGCAGAAAGTCTGTAAAACCACTGGAAGGGTAATGGCCAACACTCCTTTAACAAGGAATAGGCTAACAAGAGAAACCCATAAAACATTTCTTAAAAAGTTTTTGCTATAGTGCATACGTGCTCTCCAGAGAGAGAGACAGAGGGAAGAGAGAGAGTGAGAAAGTGAGAAATCACCACTCTCCTCCCCTCTCCCCCCAACCACCACCACCAGGGAGGATGGACACACAATCCCTTCTCCTCTGTTCTACTCTTGGGAATTTGGGCACATATGAACATGAGCCCAGAATATTTTCCAAGCTGACTGGTCCAGGATTCAAACCACAATCGGCCCTGTGGGATCCAGTGCCTTAACCCCCATACCACCTGGCTAGCCATTTATTTAATCAAAGTTTTACATGACTCAGGAGCCTTCAGAAATGAAAACCCAGAGATCCAGGGAAAACTATTTTTATGCTTAGAGTCTGTGAAGTTTGGGCAGTCATGTAGAAATGCGGTTGGACAAAAAGAATATGATATAATGGTAATAGACAGTGGGGAGAACCCAGAAGGCCTGTTCCAGTTCTTCTCAGCCTCTCTGTTTAGTGTTCATTCCTTCAATTCCTTCCTTCCTTCCAGGGCTGGGGCAGGACTCCTCTGGAATGAGGGTGTTCAAGGGAGAAAGGAGAAGGCAGAGAGTGACCTTTCTAGATTCTCCGTTGGGGGAGAATTGGGGGTTCTAGTTTCTCATATCACGTTAGGAAAAATGAATTCTGTTTCCATGACTTGCTGTATGGAAACAAGGGACAGGAGGCAAAGGGCAGCAGACGATCCGAGAGATCTTGCTCTGAGGCCCTTCCCATGTCCTTTAGTTCAGCGTACTCAGACACCAAGGGGACTCACTCGAGGGCATTGCGTTCCAAGCTCCACCAGGTGAGATTTAGCTGTTAAGTTCTAGTTTCTGCATCTGTACAGTGGGATGTTGGTGACAAAAAGTGCTCTTAAGACATGAGATTCAAGTGAGGATTTAATAAGCTCTTCCATGTACATGGCTTAACCAGGTGTCTGCTACATGTTGATATTTGATTATATTACTATTAGCTATCTTGATCAATTGAGAAAAATCTCTCCCCCAAAATATGATTTTATCTCTTTTTTCATTATATCTACTATAGGTAGCTTCAGGTGCTCAGTCTATATTTCCCTATTCAGACATCACTTTTGTTAATAAAGTGTTCTGACTCCAAAATTACAGACTCTCTTACTGAAAATGTGATTTGGCTGTGGGCTCGGTACAGTAATCTCTAAAATAGGACTCTTGGCAACTATAATAACATGATGAATTACATTTTCTGATTTTTCTGGAAAAAAAATTACTTTGTTTCTACCCGTGTAGCTTACATCTTTTCTGAGACATATCAGCTCATTTTTATTCCTCAATATGTATGGTGTGTTTAAAATGGTGGAAAGAACACAGATTTGAATCTTAAAGATCTGAACGTAATTCTCTGTTTGTAAGTCCTTGCCCCATGACTTCAAGTATGCAGCCATTCTGATCCTTGGTCTCTTTGCCTACAAAATAAGGAATAAAAAAATTATCAATTTTTTAATTGAATTCTTATATTTTTTAATATCATGTGATACCTAGTTTTGAACATCAGATCTTACTACAAAATAATAACAAATAAATATGAAGACTTTGGATACGTGATATTATAGTATATATGAGGGGTCTTTAAAGAGTTCATGGAAAAGGCACATAACACAAAAACTGTGCATGGATTCCTTTTTTTTGCATCAAAATAAACTTGTGTTTTAATTCAACTTTCATCTACTTTTTCTGACTTAACAGGTATTCGGCCTCGTGTCCTTGGTTCTTGAAGCAGCTTTGGCACGGCTTTAAAAAGATAAGCTGGAAGACAGTCTGACTTTCTCCTGCCCTCCTTTAACCTGTTCCTTTCTCTCCCTAAGGTAGGCCACAGAAACTAGTCTCAAGGTGGTTCATAGAAACTAATCTTCCTTAAAGCCCTCATTCCAGGCCCAGCCGCTGTGATGCAGCAGTAATCACTAGCACCCGACAGTGCCGCAAGTCATACGCAATCATGGGTACTTTTGCCTGAAAAGCATTCTTGGGAATCAGCAGTTAGCATAATGGCTATGTTGCTGGACTCCCACATAGTCGACCGCGGTTCGCATCCCGGACCCAGTGGCTTAAAACTCACACCGGGCGTGTGTGCATGCGTGCCCAAGATCCCAAGAGGAGAATGGAGGAGAAGGGATTGCGGCGTGACCATCCCCCCTGAGGGGTGATTTCTCACTTTCTGTCTCTATGTCTCTCTCTGTCTGTCTGGTGAATGCACATGCCCTATAGCACAAAAAAAAAAAAAAAAAAAAGCATTCTTCATGGGTGCCTAGCAACCTGAAGATCTGGATGGTGTGGAGAGAAGGCATTGCAACATGATGAACCCCTATTGAGACCTTCACGAACGTCTTCTCTCTTCTTTTCAGCCCTCACTTGCCCTTTCCACCACAGAAAGAAAGCGGGGGAGGACCCTCATTACAGAGGGGTCCTACCCCATGCCTGGGAAGAAGGAACATACACAGAGAGGCCAAGAATCTGAGCAGATAAAGCCTTCTGGTTTCCAGCTGACATTAAGAAAGAGTTAGAACACTCAACATGCGCAGGGGAGGAAAAACTTCTCAGACTTGGGATTTAAAGAAAGATAAATGAAAGTTGAAAGGGAGGCGGCCAAGGGAAGGAGAACAGCATGTGCCACGGGTTGGTGGTAGAATGACAGCAAAGACAAGCCAGTTCAATATGCAAGAGAACAGCCAGTGAGCAATGTGAGAGCAAACTCATGCACTCACAGGAGACTGTCTCGTCGCCTTCCCTCCCTACACCCCCATTTGGCCCTGCCTCCACGTTGGAACCTGGCCCCATTTCTGGGACAGAGCCGTGGCCGATGACGGATACTTTCTTGCTGATAACAGCGGAGCATGTGGAGAACCATCTGTTCACTGAATGTTCCAATCAAGTTTGAGTTCATTTAAAAAAAATTCTATTTGTGGGTTTGTTTACCATTTGAGGGTCAAAATAATACATCCATATAAGGATGAGTGCATCTTTTCAAAGAATGGCTAATCTAGTCAATCTGGGATAGCTGGAGAAAGTATAGTTGTTCCTGGGTATCTGCAGGGGATAGGTTCCAGGACCCTCCTTGGATATGAAAATTCATGAATGCTCAAGTACCTATATAAGATGGTGTGATATTTGCAAATAACCTATACATCTTTCTATATACCTTCAATAATCTCTGGATTACTTGTAATACCGAATACAATGCAAAAGCTACGTAAATACAATCACATGTCACTTATGGGCAGGGATACCTTCCAAGAAATACATCAATAGGTGATTTTGTTGTGCAAATACCACTATGTACCTATACAAACCTAGATGGTATAGCCTATTACACACCCAGGCTACATGAGATTGCCTATTATAATCTTATGGGACTTGTCATTGACTGACATGTCATTATGCAGTGCATGACTGTAGCTGTTATACTGTGTTGTTCAGGGAATAATGACAAGAAACGAGAGCCTGTATGAGTTCATCCAGATGTAACCATGTCAGTCCATGAAAGGCCATGCTGGCAAGAATATAACATTTCCCATCCACAGGTGCTCAAATCTATCCATACAGAAGCCATGGGTATAAAAGGCTCTGTGACCATGCCTTGCAAGGTATAAGAGCACAAGACAGTCACAGAACAGGATAGAGCGCTGGCCAGGCCCAGAACTGGGGATATCGAGTTCGTCTATGACCTTTTATAAACTTCGGTTCCCTCACCTCTAGATAATCTAGAATTTGAGATATGGCTATGACCACTGATCAAGTGATGGTGATAAGGCCAAACCAAAACTTAATTTTAGAAGATTATATTTTATGGTTCATTCTCATGGTAAAAGACATATCTGACTCAAAATAGAGATTTGATTTCTCAACCCTTCTTCCCATGCTCTGAAAGCTGGTACATGTGGCTAGCCTTACTGAAGCATTGATTTCATTAAGGGTGAAAGAGCCAAGATAAACAAACAAGCAAACAAAGAATCCAATAAAAGGACTTGCTCGGTTGTCATGGACCCGAACATGTAATCAATAGTACTTATTCAATAAGATGTATAGAAAAACAAAAATGCTACATCTCTTTATCCTATTGAGAATGTATTTATAAGCAAACACAGATAAATGAATCATCTTGGTTCAGTGTTTGCTTTTTTAAATTTTGCCAGAGGATGTGTGCACTGACCAGAGAGAGACAGAGAGACAGAGAGACAGAAAGAGAGAGGGAGAGGAAGAACACACCCTCCATGAGACATGATCATACCTAAATTCCCTCTCCTCCATTTTTTTCCTTTTCCAGAATTTTGGGCATGCAAACACACTCAGTGTGGTTTTTTAAGTGACTGAGTATGACATCAAACCATGGGGTCAGCCATGTGGGATCCAGTTCCTTCAAACACCAGGCCATGAGCTAGCCCAGTGCTCTTCTTTGCTATGACAAAATTAATGTCTAATGATTAAACTATTAGCACACAATATCCTATTTTGCTCACAAACAATACAACTAGTACAGCACCAATGGGCAAAACGTTTGACTTTTTCCCCTATAGACTAAATGTTACTTTTTTTAGCTTTACTAGAATATAGTTTATGTACAATAAAATTAGCTCATATTTAAAATACAGTTATGACTTTTGACAGATGCATACGTACCCAGATTAGCACTACAATCAAAATGTGTAATAGTTCCTTAAAATATTGCCTTTTTATGTCTTCCCATTAATCTGTGCTCCCCATTCCCAGCCAGAGTAAGGCAAGGATGATTTGCTTTCTGTTGCTATCATTTTGTCTTTTTAAGAATTACTTATAAACTAAATCAAATTGTAAGTAGTCTCCTATACTTCTCATAGTTCTTTTAGCAAATTGTACACATCTTCTCTTTACTGTTGAGTAGCATCCCAGTAAACAGACCTACCACATTTTGTTGTTCCAATTACCAGTTGACCAACATTCAATGTTCACAGTTTAGGGTTACTATGAATGACACTATGAGCATTTCTGTACAGGTCTATCTGTAGATTATTTCATTATTCTACATTGACATACCTAAGAATGACTGACTTATATGGTGGTATGTGTTTAACTTTTTAAGAAACTGTTAAGTTGGAGCCACCAGGTGGCATAAGGGTTAAGGGGTTGGACTCCCACATGGTTGACCACAGTTCAAGTCCCAAACCTGGTGGCTTAAAAAATTACACTGGGAGGGACCAGCAGGTGGCACGGTGGTTAAGGCGCTAGACACTCCCACATGGCCGACTACAGTTAAAGTCCTGGACCTGGTGGCTTGCTTTCTCACTTTCCCACATTTTCTCCCTCTCTCTCTGTCTCTCTCTGGTCAAATTAAAATAAATGAATGAATAAATAAAAAATTAAATATTTTTTAAAAATAATTATTAAAAAAAATTACACTGGGAGGGAACCAGTAGATGGCATAATGGTTATGTCGCTGGACTCCCATGTAGACAACTGTGGTTAGAGTCCCAGACCTGGCGTCTTAAACTAAAGCTGGGCATATGTGCAGCCCAAGGACCCGAGGAGAATGGAGAAGGGATTGTGGCATGGCCATCCCACTGGGGGGTGATTTCTCGCTTTCTCTCTCTCTGTCTCTCTTGTGAGCACATGCACCCTATAGTAAAAATCTCTCTTAAAAAAAGAAAAGAAAATTACACCAAGCAACACATGCCCCAAATCCCAGGAGAATGGAGGAGAAAATATTGTGCCGCGGCCATCTCCCTGGTGTGTATTTTTGGGAGGATTTCTCACTCTCCCTCTCTGTGTCTCTTTCCAGTAAGCATACGCACCCTATGACAAAAACCTTAAAAAAAGAAACTCTTGAATTTTCCAAATGGCTGTACTATGGTGCATTACTTGATTGACTGTATTTTGTTGTATAGATCCACCCAATATCACCATAAATAAGTATTCTGTGTTTTAAGCTCTGTTCTGCATTCTGCCATTTTTCTGAGAGCTTATTTCTCTCTCTCTCATGCACACACACACACACCCAAGCCAAGCAATATTTGTTAGTCCTCTCTGCCCTCAATTTGGGATCTTAGAGTTAGGCTGAGCAGCAGAGAAACCAACAGCATATTGGATTTAACCAATATGTATAATTGACTATTTTCACTTATGTGATTAGCTTCCTTTTCAAAGTCAGCCCTAGAGCAGAAAACTAAATCTCCTTCTGGACAAACAAAACCCAGCCAATGGATCTGCATGAAAATGGGAGATGACCTAAAGCAGGTTCTTCTTCTGAGATCCTTAAAAGGATATCAAAGAAGAAACTATCTTTTCAAGGAATGAAAAACCAAACCAACAACAAAAATATCTTCCTTGGGAAGAAAATACATACCGAATACACATTTCACTGGTTTAGAAAGAGCCTGCATAACTTTGATTGTCAGCCCATCGAAAAATTCTTGTTTGCAGGCTCTTCGGGGAGACGAGAAAAAGAATGTTGTACTGGCAAGCAATCCTCTCAAAGCATTAATCAGACAATGTATTCCCTATCTTTTGAGAAATGCTTGTTGCTCTATATAATAATAAACATAACGATTTCAATCATAGGTCTTCATGTTACTGTTGTTCGTTATAAGAAGGCTTGCCACTGTAGAAAAGGTAAAAGGGCATGCTATGGCTTGAATATATCCCCCAGAAATTCATGTGTTGGGACTTGGTTACATTGGCTGCATTGTAAAGATATTAAGAGAAAACTTAATTCTTTCATGGTGTCTCAGGGTAAGTCCTACCCTCAGGGTAGTGGGCCATGATTGGTTCATGTGATTGCATCTTGGAGGCAACTGTCTCATGAATAAATTAATGATGTCTCACAAGACCCAGTAAGTTCTAGCTCTGCGAGAAATGGTTAGTTCTCACAAGACTTGGTTATTATAAAACAGGGATCAGTCAGGACCTCTCTCTCTGCACATGCCTGCCATCCGCCGTGCTTCTGGCAGCGACACCACGTCGTAGGCACAGGACTTCGGACTTTATGTTACTGGTCTCTGAGTTTGTAAATAAGCTTCTGTAGTCTTCATAAAATCACCTAGGCTCGATTATTTCTGTTAGCAATGCAAAAAAAAAAAAAAAGTCTCAGACAAAAAGAGATACAAGTCAAATGTCTACAAATTTATGAGTTTCTGAAAGTGTGCTTTCTTTTACATCAATCTGCAAGGCTGATTTGTTTTACCAAATAAAACAGAGAACTATATGGGAGGGATGCACAAACAAACAAACAAATAAAAAACAAAAACAAAAACAAACACAGAAGGAAAAAACATGAGCAAAACTGGCCCAGTTGCTATGTCACAACACAAATGAAGTGCCCTGCAAGGCTGGGAGCCATGTGGCCAACCACAGATGATGAGGACCCTGAGAAGTTGTAGGCTGGGGAAAGAGGATCGCCACACGCAAAGGGTGCTTTTCTCTTCCTCATACTAATGTCCGCTTTCTCTCATTAAAAAAAAAAACGAAAGCAAAACTGACACCCTGTCTCATTCTCTTCTGCCTTAGTCTGATCTACCCCAATTCTGTTCAAAATGATCATTGCTCTGTGTCACTTTTTTAAAAAAGTCACGGTTTTCCCTAAGCCAATATTAGTTTATGCTAATAAAAATTTACCTTGTTAATAAAGGGATTTAAGATTACCCCAAATATTCAGTTCTTACCCAGAAACAACAATAAAAAAAAGAAGCTTTATTTTTTCTTATTTGATATCTTTTTAAAAGTGATTTAAATTATTATAGAAATAACACTAGTGGCACACAATCACTTTAGATTTGTCCACACTAAGAAAACTACCTTGACTGAAAAAAATGTCCTCCGTGTGTGTTTTAGGGCTGGTGGCTCACCGTCAGAATTTAGAATTTAGAAAATCTGCCTGGTGACCTCACCGGACCCAAGTTCTAGCCTTAGACACAGATTATTGAACCAGATTGGACACGACCAAGAAAAATACATGTTCTGGCTGAGCAGTCACCATGGGCCAAAAGCTGGTTTCCTTCTCTCACGAGAATTTGACAAGAAGAAAGTGATTGTGGCTTACTGGTTTGGGAATCTAGCACTACAAGCTCATGCAAGTTCAAAGCCAGAGCTGGGACAATGGTAGGCATTGCTTCTGCCTTTTTCATGAACTTTTTGAGGTTTTCTCGTATGTCAATACAAAGAGTATATGTTTTTATACTAGATGCTGAAGAAATTATCAGTGAGTAGGACAAGACTTCTTTATTCTAGGTGTGAAAGTGGAAGATGGAGATCAGAAAATTTGCCTTAATGAAGTTATGTGACCTTCTTCACACCTGCAATCCCAACCAGACAGACAGACATCTGTTTTCAAGTAGCGTCAAAAACATAATAAAATGCAAATGCATATTGATCAGCAAATAATTATGACAACCCATCAGTATGCTAATGAGTCTCAATTCCTCCTAACAAAGTTTTTTTTGTGTGTCTAAACTAAAATAATACAGATTTATCTAGTACTACCCGCACAGCTCAAATGATCATAAAATCTGAACTTAGAAAAAATACAAATGAAAAGCAAATAATATTTGATTTGTGGGTCTCTCTGAGACTTCACAGAGTCACTAAATGATCTAGGTCATAACAGAAAAAAAGCCATATATATCTGTGTGTGTGTGTGTGTGTGTGTGTGTATATATATATATATATATATGTCCTTTGATCTAGGATTTGTTACAGTAGTTTGGACTTATACTCTGGCACTAAATCAATAGATAACAAATCCATGCTGATTTCATCTGGGAAGAGACCTTCAGCAGTATCATTTCTCAGAGTCCACACAGTGATTAGTTGAGACTCACTTTAGAACCACTCTTCAAATTACATTATACAGGGACCAGTAGTTAGCATAATGGCTATGTTGCTGGACTCCCATGTAGTTGACCGCGGTTTGCATCCCGGACCCGGTGGCTTAAATTTATGCTGGGTGCATGTGTGTGCATACCCAAGATCCCGAGAGGAGAATGAAGGAGAAGGGATTGCAGCATGGCCATCCCCCCTGGGGGGCGTGTGTGATTTCTCACTTTCTGTCTCTTTGTCTCTCCCCCCCACAAAAAAAAAAAAAAAAAAAAAAAAAAAAAAAAAAAAAAAAAAAAACTCTCAAAAAATTACATTATACTTTGAAGTCTATTATCATTAACAAAGTATTTGCCAAACAAGTGTCTCAGAATACTAAGTACTGATTTTGCAAAACCCCTCTTAGAATCTCTTTGTGAAAGCTAAAATATGCCAAATTAGAGACTTATTGGAACAAACTGTTCTGTATTCATTCCTATTGCATTAACTACCTTAAAAATAGACATGGGATAATGTGTTAGGGTTTCCTCTATGAAATTATATTTAGGGAAAATAAGGTCATTAAGCAACTCATTGCAGAACAGGCATGAGAGAAAGAAGACTGAGGGCTACTGGGCAAAACATTTTCTTTTTTCAATTTTATAGCTCTGCAGAATCTTGCAAAGAGCCAACAAAAGAAAGAAGGCATAAGACCTTCCTCAGAAGTGCACGCATTGTGGTAACTGGTATGTAGTGCTCATTTTGAATGAATGAAGGAATGGCTCTTGCTGTAGTTTTGAATATGTACCTACAAAATTCATATGTTCCCCAAAACTTCTTGAGCCATTATAATGGGACTAAGAGGGTAAAATTTTGATACAATTATTATGTGGAAGGGTGAGGTCTTTGGTTAAAGTAGATCCCCTGATTGAGTCCTGGTGGACTAATAAGGAGAGAAAATGAAGTTGACAGGCCCACATGGATACAGGTCATGCTCTGTTTTGTTCAGAGTTCTGCCTTCTCCATTCAATGAGGCCTTGAATTTGTCAGCCACTAGAATCATGAGTCAAATCAATCTCTATTTTTATAAATTACTCAGTTCAGGGACCAGCAGATGGTGTAATGTTTACATCTCCGGACCCCCACATAGTCAACCGCTATTCAAATCCTGGACCCGGTGGCTTAAAATTCACACCAGGCACATATTTGCCCAAATTCCTGAGAGGAGAATGGAGGAGAAGGGATTGCAGCATGGCCAATCTCCCTGGAGGAGTGATTTCTGGCTTTCTCTCTCTCTGTCTTTCTTTGTGTCTCTGGTGAGCACATGCGCCCTATAGCAAAAACAAACAAAACTCTCTTTAAAAAAAAGAAAATTAATTACTCAGTCCTGGGAATTTCTGTTCAGCAAAGTAATAATGAACTAAGGAGCCCCTCCACATGCTGCTTCTACCATTTACCCTCTTTCTCCCTATAATACTGTCACAGTGGTTTCTTTCTGCCTTTCTTGTTTCTACCTCTGGGTCTTTGGTCTTGAAAACTTTCTCCACTGGGAATATCTCTTCAATTTTTCTCCAGGTCTTCACTTTCACTTCACTTTTTAAAAATTCTTCCTTGAAAGATTCTTCCTTGGTTACTCTAACCAAAGGAACCACACTTCAGACTCACCCTCTTTCCTTTCGCCTTGTTCTATTTCCTTTAGCAGGTATAGTTCTCTGGTATTCTCTGTATTCATTCTTTTCTTGCTTATTGCCCATTTCTCTCCCTGCAGGATGTGAACTCTGTGAGACCAGAACAAACCTGAATGGTTGAGTGACCGCTGTTTCCAGTGTCGAGAGCTGTGCTGGGCACATCATAGGTATCAACTAATAGCTTTTGAATGAATGAGAAGGAGAGAAAGAGAATTGTCATACGGGAAGACTGCAAATGCCCATTCTCATTCAAGTTGGATATTTTCATTGAATTTCCCTTAAAATGAACTGAATGAGACATTTAGTACAGCTTCAGATATTTTTTTTCTTTTTCTTTTTTGTTAGAGGGCATGAGCACTCACCAGAGGGAAGGTGAAGAGAAAGCAGACTCCATGGGGAATGTCATGTGCCAATCCCTTCTCTTTCGTTTCTCCTTTTGGAATTTTTAGCACACAGGTGCATACTCCTGGCATGTTTCTCAAGTCACAGAGTCTGGGATGTGAACTGTGTGGTTGGTTATGTGGCATCTAGCTCCTTAACCACTAAGCCAAGAAGCCAGCCTACTTCAGATAGATTTTTCCCTTAAGAAAATTATTAGGTGATTACATTATGCTGGATATTTCTATCTGATTCACAATATCACAAGGCCAACAGCAACTTTTTGCCCCAAGGCATTGTCTTTATTTCCTGTCCAATCTGGGTCAAGATTTAAAAATCAAAAGATGGGCCAGCAAATGGTGCAGTTACGTTGCAGGTCTCCCACGTGGCTGACCAAGGTTCGAGTCCTTGATCCAGTGGCTTGAAACGCATGCTGGGCACATGTACGTGCATGCCCAAGATCCTGGTAGGAGAATGGAGGAGAAGGGATTGCAGTGTGGCCAACCCTGCTGGGGAGCGATTTCTCACTTTACCTTTCACTGTCTCTGTCTCTCTCCCCACCAATTGCATGCGCCTTAAGGCAACAACCTCTATGAAAAAAAAAAATCAAAAGAAAAAAATCCTCTTATGAATACAAAAATCAAAATAAAAATCCTCTACAGAAAAAAAAAGAAAGAAAAATTGAGAATCACTCATCAAGTCAATCAAAAGTGCTGGCTTATTCCCCTGGTTTCTCTAGTTGACCTACACTATGGACTAGACACTTAGACATCTCATGACTTTAATTTCCTCTTCTTTCAACTCTGGTAGTAATATAATTATTATAATGATTAATGAGATGATGTTTCTATAATGCTGATAGGCACCATATAAATTTTTTTGAGAGGTTTTGCTATAGGGTGTGTGCGCTCGCCAGACAGACAGAGAGAGACATAGAGACAGAAAGCGAGAAATCACCCCCCAGGGGGGAGGGTCACACCAAAATCCCTTCTCCTCCATTATCCTCTTGGGATCTTGGGCACGCATGCACATGCGCCCGGCATGAGTTCTAAGCCACCGGGTCCAGGACGCGAACCGTGGTCGACTACGTGGGAATCCAGTGACATAGCCATTACGCTAACTGCTGGTTCTAGGCACCATATAAATTTGTTCAAAAACATAATTAAAATGCTATTTCTGGGACCATCAAATGGCATATGGTTACATCACTATACTGCCAAATAGTCAACCACAGATTGAATTCCAGACCTGGCGGCTTAAACTCACACCAGGCACATGTACATGCATGCCCAAAATCCCGAGAGGAGAATGGAGAAGAAGGGTTTGTAGTATGGCCACCTCCCTCCCCTGGGAGTGATTTCTGACTTTCTCTCTGTCTCTCTCTTGTCTTTACAGCGAATGCATGCTCTTGTCTTTCCAGCGAATGCATGCGCCCAATAGCAAAAATCTCCCTTTAAAAAAAAAAAATGTTATTTCCTTCTCCCCTTTTCCTTTTGCTATTTCCAACTCAGGGTTCAAGTTCCTTCTCACAAATTGCAATCAGTATTTTTGTGTAATAGCAGTTTAAATGGTAAAGTACGTGTCAGCTTTGTAAAGCACAGCTCTCCCCTCTTCTGGCACTAACAATTATGGCTGTAATGGTCACTGGTAAACACAGTGCTGATGGTAATGGCTCTGACAGTCTAATTCTTTTAGGTGTCATCCTCTGTGAGAATCAGCAGGCACCAAGGCCACACCTTGGTCAGGAAGGCTGAGTGGATTCTAACCATGAAAACTGCAATTACACAAACACTCCTAATGACTTGGTGCTTTTCACCATTTTTAGTACTTGGGGAATAATCCAAGTCTTTAATAAATCTATGTTTAAGTGTATCAGCTGAAGCATGTCTCCATGAATGGTACACTCTATGCTCTCTTTCTTTCCACATTATTTCCCTTCCTTGTCAGGACAAGTACCCTCTTTGCTATGACTAATAGTAGCTACTTTTAG